CCCACCCCCCCGCCCCCCGAGATATATAAGTAATTGGAGAAACGTTCAGGAGGTCGGAACGACTCGGTATCAGACATCAGTACCTGGGAAATAGGTCAGTAGGGAGGTCTGGTAACAGTTAGCATTTAAAGAAGCAAGAAAAACTTGACTACCAAGCGCAGCCTCCCTCCTGCCGCGACTCCATCCCCGAGATATGACATTGAATGATATTTAAATGAGTTAAATCAGTTTTATAGATTTTTTTCTGAGCATCTGCATGTGATCACAATTGTTAGATCTAAAAACGATACAGATAAAATTCTGTTCTAGCTCATGAGCGGTGTTTTGCGTATTCAGCTTTGCTTTTAGCATCAGTTAGATGCTGACCGCTGTTTGTTTGTTGTATGAATGGAGATAAATACTCAATTTAGGAAGCATGGAGCAGGTGCGGAGTCCGGCAGTGAGACCAAGAACTAAGAAGATGCAAAAGCTGAATATTCAACAGTAGAAACCCCAGTAGTGGCTGTATTTGGTTTTATGAGGATGTTATTGGATTGGGAAGCTCCATAGCAAAAATAATTAGACAAAAATGGAGACAAAATTTAAAGCATCATAAATCTCACAGACTGAATTAACGAAGCAGTTATGCAATGATGTCGTTAGTTGGACGGACTTTAAGGAGGAAGGAGTTCTAGGGGTGACGTAATGGAAATTGTGGGAAGAGACTGATGGCGAGAGGAGCAGGCAAAGGCAAGGAGACACATCCAGGCTGATGTGGACGGGGCAGAGACGCCTTCGTGTTTGAGGAGGAGGAGCTGGTGGACCAGAAGGAAGAGAACATTTCATTATCCTTCACGTAATGTAACGGATAGAAGATGGTTTCATTGGTGAAGAAATGTGTTGTTCAAAGAACACAACTGTAGCTTTTATTAAACCAGATTCGAAGACGGCTGGTGGCAGACTGAAGAGCTGAAGCGCTTGAAGAGATAAGTATGTTTGAATGGTTAAAATCGTTGTGATATTCTGCATTAAATTATATGTTGTAACATTTTAGGTTTGTGGCACAATAATGTAATGGATCATGGAGCAAAAATGTAAAACATTGATGATTTTAGAGCAAAGCAACCATCAAAGTATGACAGGGAAAACGCACATTAATGAAATACATCAGGCTAGGACATAATTTAATAAATAAATAACATGAAGTAATTTTAGCGGCAGCTAACCGTTTAGGCTAATGATTTCAAACATTATGAACCATGTCTGAAATGAGGTAGTGAGAATAATGTTTTCTTCATTTAAATGAATGTGGAGATTAGACTAGGATGTTAGCATGAAGAGCCTTAATGGCATATTTTATTGAACTTTAAGCTTAAAGAACACATGAAGAGTACCACTTTATGAGAGCATTTTACACTGGTGAATGGTGTACTGGGAGTGAGTGTGCATGCGAAAGCGCGACAGTTCAGCTGAATCTTGTTGAACTAAAAGTTAATGTTTTGTCACATACAATAAGTCAGTCGAGTTGATATTTGCATTTGCTAAGAAATATAAGAGCAGTTTTGCTTTTATTCGTCGTTGTTTTAGAATTATTAATTGTATTCGGGTAAAATGACTCGTTTGTCTGTATAATCCTTAGCACTGTTTGTTTTTAAAAAGCTGTGGTCATATCTATTTGGAAGAGACAGATTTTTTTTTTTTTTTTTTTTTTTAAGGATTTTACATCGCTGACTATTCAGAAAATATATTTTTGTCTCGGCATATTTCCTCGTCATCCTCGCTGCACCTCCGTAGCGATAATCCCCCTTTAGTGTGTGGAACACGCGAACTCAGCAGGAACTTGAAGAGCCGCCCTATCTCTCTCACCACGCAGACGCCTCCCCTAACGAAGGAGAGCTAACTGCTAATGAGGAGCTCATTAACACATATGTGCCATGTTTATTAAGGCTACACACATTCACATACCACAAAATGTGCAGATATCTTTTAGGGAACTGGATTACAAAGAGAAGAGTGGAGTTGTAGGTATGTGAGGAAGCGAAGGTTTGGGCACAAGTGTAAGTCTGAGAACCTTCAAAATCAGGTGGAAACTTAATTTTATCTCAATTCAAATGACACAGTTTTATGTAAAACTGGCAGCATTCACAGGCGTCTGAATAACCTGACTAGTGGCAACACTCTGACTGAGGTCGTTCAGGTTAACTGTTTACATGAACTCTGACTGCGCCTCTGTCGCCACGACAAATGGGAGTCACAAAATATCCACGGTGGCTTGTGTTGTCTCAGTTCTAGAGATGAATTCTCTTCTTAATATAAGTTTTCAGTAGTTAATAGTTGAGCTGCACATTAATCAAATATAAATGAAAAGCAGGAGCTGCAATTTTTAAAATTAATGTGTGTAGACAGTTGTAGCAGCATACAGAGAGCCCCGGCCACACATCATATTTGCTTCGAGTAAAGGGACAATGTTTGTGGTACAGACCCAACAAAGATCATATCATCACATTTTTTTTTTTATTTCCAGTTGAAAATGATACGGGCACAAAATGACCATTTCAGTTGAAATCGCGATGGTAATATCTGCAAATAATGCGAAATTTTGGATTTTTTTTCTTGCATATCGTGCAGCCCAAGTTAGTGTCAACAGCATGTTCAAACATCTCTTATTCACGCAAGATTAGATATTCCAAATGTTTCTCGGGAGCTTCTCCAGTAAGATTAAGCCGACAGGAAAAAAACTGCCCACTGAAACAGCCAGAAAACGTTCACGTGATGCGTTCACTCGACAGGTTTGGTGAAGTTGGTGACTGAAATACAGAGACTGTTGCTTGATCTCTACTCGGAGCTGTTACATCACTGCGCGAGCTAAGCCTGCCCCAGGTCAGGTGACTTGAATTATTCAGAGCTAAAAGGAATAGTTTCGACTCTGGGAAACAGTGCTTACTGTCTTTCTTGAGAATCAATCCCACTTTCATTTGTCTGTTAGACATGAAGCTTAGAGCAGAAGGATTTTCGTTCTACAAGAAGAGGAAAATCTACCCTAGCAAAAAACAAAGCACAAAACAAAGCCACACAAATAAGTTTCATGTGTGGTAAAG